CAAGGAATGAAGTAAGGCAGCGTTTAGCTTTTATTAAATCAACAACAAAAAATAAAATAACAACAACAAAACATATTAATAAAGCTGCAAAAAGGCTGCATAAATTGTGCACATCTTTTAAAAAAAATACATGCATACATACATACATACATATTATATTTGAGGATCATAACGTCAGCAGAGTCTACTAAAACAAGAGTGTAACAGCCATGTACTCGTATTAAGTTTGCTTACACTAGTAGCAGCGACCGCGACTGCGACAGGGACAGCAACAGTAAACAGTGTACACTGTACATACAACATTGCCAAATTATTAGAGTCAACGTCAAATAACGTCAGTAGGAACGTCGTCGTCAACGTTATCGTTAAAGAGACGCACACAGCGCGCAAAATACTAAACTTTGTCGTGTCAAAAATGCCCTTGGTTTGATCATTATAAAATGTTTGTCTTCTTCTTCTTATGTACTTGTTGTTTTTTTTTATTGTTCCTCTTCTCGTTGTTATTATTGTTGTTGTTGTTGCTGTTGCTAGTATTTTGTTTGTGTAATTTTATTAAAAGCTTTATAAAAAAAAAAACAAAAGCAAAAAAAATGAAAACATTTAAGTGTTGAATTCATGTTGCTTACAGAAAAGTTTCAATTAATTATGTTGTAGTTGTAGTTGTTGTTGCTATTATTACAGTTGCTATTGTTGTTGTTTTTAATATTTTTTGCAATAAACAAAATTTTGGCAAAGAAAGAAGGGACAAAGCCATAAAATAAAAACACATGTGAATACTATTATTATATCTGTTATTTAACAAGAATTTTTGCATATGAGATAAAATAATATTAGGTAATAAAAAATTTTTGATATTCTGTAGTAAGTGAGCAATAAGGGCCTAAGTCGACTTTTGAGAACGCTATAATCAGTCTAAAAAGTTTCTATTTTCGTAAACTGGGGTTGTAGAATCAAATGTCTTATTATTTTATAATTTAATCATATGATATTCTATTAAATATCATAGAGAATGAATTTATGGATTTGGATTAAGAACATTGAAGTTATAAAATAAGTAGATAAAAAATTACAGTTGTAATATATATAAGAATAATTATAAAATTGATAATCCTAATATTTATAATAATAATAATTATAATAGTAATAATTATAATACAGAGACTTCAGTAATTAGAACTAAAGTTAGATATTTTGTGTAATAATTATTCCGAATTATAGACAGGGCATTCCATCTTACGAATGGAGACAAAATTATCTCTCGCTAAGAAGATGATTAAAGTGAATTCTTCCAGCATCTTTTTCGCCATCCAGACAAAGGTTAGACAACTTCAGAATGTTCTCCGTTATGAAATTTTGTCTATCAGATTATCTGATCTTCCAAAGTCTACTTCCAGGCCCACAGAAGGACCGAGTAATATTTTTAGCTGTGAATTTTCACTATCAAATATTAAGAGTCTGATTTTCATGAATCTTCTTACTGATCTAGAGATCAGTATATATATATACTGATATATACTGATATATACTCGCGATATATCAAAAATTCGATATTCAAAAGTTCGTCAATACAATGACTATTTGTCTGTTTATCTATTTTTCCTCAGTTGTAAAGATAGATTAATAAAATTTACCCTATTATATTTTTAGAAGGAAATAAAGTACCGGGAACTCATTAACAAAACACGACTACTTAAGTCTCATTATAATCGACATGAAATCCTTACTCTGCATAAACACATTTTTTTGTTAATATACTTTCAAAAATTATATCTGAAAGTGATCCATTTTCAATATTAACCATAGATTCGATGTCAAATAGAAGCATACGCGATGAAAACCTGTACTCATTATTTTCATATCTGAAATAGTTATTTAGTCTATTATATAAACCTTAATTGGATACTTAATACATATTTTTTTTTTGTTTTTGTTTAGAAAGAACAGGTTCCGAAGTTACAGAACTCCAAATTTGATTCATTTAATAATTTTTGAAAATCTATTGAAGGCCCTTCATATATCTTACGAAATTATGTAGATTTTTTACGTTACTTATACATCTGTCTCTCTTTTTGCGATAAGTGGAAAGCATGGACAGCCATAGTGTAAGATTTTGAACCCCTAAAATCATCTCTTATAGATGAAATAGAGAAAATTAAAAGCCCTTCATATATCTTATGAAGTTTTGTAGTTTTTTTTCGTTTCTTATACATCTGTCTTTCTCTTTGCGGTAGGTGGAAAACATGGACAACTATAGTGTAAGATTTTGAACCCCTAAAGTCATCTAAAGAGATGAAGAAAATTTTCACCGCTGTTACGAAGCACAGTGTGAGAAACTTAATACTTAATGTGTGTACCTTATTTTACTATTAATATAATATTTAATGTGGAAGTATTCACCATCTATCTTTCAATGTTTTTGTACAATCGATCTATGAGCAACTTCATTCGATAATAATTTACTGATTAGTATACACTCCAGAAAGTTTAACATTTTTAATATTATTTTATTTTTTATAATAGCTTATATACATATATAGTAAATTATTATATATTATAGATTTGTTCTCTTTATATACAAAACTAACGCTGCTAAATCAAATTGTAGTTTGCAATAAAAATTAGGAAAGTCTGCGTCTTTGCAAAAACCCTCCACGAAGACGAAGCCTTCGCTGAAGACGAAGTACAAGTGGAGAAGAGAACAATACCAAGATACATTTAGTGCCGCATCGTTCTTTCATAGAATTTAGAATTTTAGGTAGGAAAAGGTAGACCTATTACACCGCCAAAAAAAGCACATAAAACTGGTATAACAAAGCATGTAAAATACTTAAGGTAGCGATGCGGCAGCAATTTAAGATACAACTGAACAAACCTACACTTACAAAGATAAATTTCACAAAAAATAAGTAATATCTGCGTATATACAATATAAATATATACATAAATATAAAATTAATTTTGAGAAGAAAAAAATTTGCGAATTGAAAACATTTTTGGCAATTATGACGCTTGCGTTGTTTACGGATTTTGCACACATATAAAAGGAATAAATATATAATATATAAATATATATAATAACATATAAAGTGGAGGGATTTCTATATTTAAACTAATAAAAATTTATTTTTATTTTAGTAAAAATACTTAAACAAGCTGAAACTGTTGAACATATTTTACAAATAAAATTTATTGCGCTACATGTGTAAAAAATAAACCAAAAATATATCTCAAAATCTGAGAGAGAAAAAAAGATACTAGAACTAATAAATAAATTGATTTCAAACAAGGACGGCGCTATAATTCAAATGTCAAATAATCATAAAAAAATAGTGAAAAAAATAATTTAATTACATAAAAGTTAACAATATTATAAAAGAACAAAAATATTTAAAAAGCAGACATCACAACAGCGAATTGAGATACAATTTTTATTGAAGTCTTAAAAAAAAATCTATTACCAGACTTTTTATTGTGATCGTTGAAATACCAGGCTTTGGGCCAGGTAACGTTTTACGGTGTCGGATTGTCAAAATTCCTTCACTTAAACCGTGTAGACGGCACACTTGGTTCCATCTTTTGCTTCGTGGTCAGATAATTACAACAAATGATTTGATTCCGGCGAAATCATTTTAAAAACACAACACAGGTTCGGAGAGCAACTAGAACAGATTTCTTAACAAATGACAAGGTTTGTTTTTATTTTATTTAATAATTTTTAATTTTATTCAATTTAATTATTATTTAACTTTACTATATAAAATTGATATACAATATAAATATATGGAGACATTTGTGAAATAGGACTCTTAAGGTAACACAACAATCTACGTACAGTCCATCATACATTAAGACCGAAAAGTTTTCGGAAATTCTCATTTAAAATTCGCGCGCTGTATATTTTTCGATATTTTAAATGTAGTTTGGCAGCACTGTCCTTAATTACTATGCCAAAAATGAGCGCGATCTGTCAGACAGTTCGTTTACGGCAGCTGTTGAAACCAGTTCACCTCAGTAGGGCGTTGCGAAAAAAACAATGGAAAAAAATATTGAACAAAGAGTTTGCATCAAATTTTGTGTTTCGAACGAAATTTCGTGTGCAGAATCGTTGCGAATGCTACAAAAGGCTTATGGGGAATCAGTTTTATCGAAAACTCAAGTTTATGAGTGGTACAAAGCCTTCCAGGACGGTCGTACGACCGTCGAAGACATTTCGCAACGCACTACTGAGGTGAACTGGTTTCAACAGCTGCCGTAAACGAACTGTCTGACAGATCGAGCTCATTTTTGGCATAGTAATTAAGGACAGTGCTGCCAAACTACATAAACTTAAAATATCGAAAAATATACAGCGCGCGAATTTTAAATGAGAATTTCCGAAAACTTTTCAGTCTTAATGTAGATGGGTTGTCGTCTTATAGCTGACATTAGCTTCGCCAAAACATATTCAAAGCATTGAGAGTATGTATGTCGTCTCTGTAGGCACGATCCTTTGCATTACCTTATTATTTATTTATAATTAATTATCTCTGCAGTGAAAATAACATCTCATCATATATATTATTTTGTATAAGGTAACCATCATTCTACTTTATTGATGGCTCTAAATTTATCTTAGTAAATACTACAATATGACAATTCGATAATCAAAAGCTAATTAATATAATAAATAGTGTCCAATTATATACTGTGGAAGCCCTTCATGAATGGATTCTGTTAGACCAATAGTGCTTAAATAACATGTATAAGCACATCTTCGAATCTTTATTTAAAGGAACTAAAGGAATCTTTAACATATTGGTGCAAAAATAATCGAATGGGAAGACTTGATCATTCCATTTTAATTCTGAATCACTATATACGGGCATATATATATATATACCTATATATATATATGTATAT